TCTTTCTCAGCGAATAAAATCCTAAACTCTGAACATAACCTTTGTCTGTAGAAGCACCACAGTGACAATGACTGGGCCTCAAAGTAGCCTCATTCCCCTGGGTCACAGCACAGCAGGCACACACTCAGCCACAAAGGCTCCACACTTGAAAGCAAGGATTTAAGACAGAAACCAGTTGTCCCCTATGTCTACAAAGCACCAAAAATCATAAATGATGTTCTGGAACTGGAAACAAGGAAATAAAATAGGTGGTCCATTTTCAGGCAGCAGCACTCTCCAATTTAAAAACAAAAACAAAAACAAAAACAAACAAACAAAAAACCCTCTTACACAAACATGAGATCTTGATAGAAATAAAGACCAGTTACGATGGTTTATTTCATGTGCCAACTTGCCTGAGTTAAGGAGTGCCCAAACAGCTGGAAATAGCTGGTCACGTGTTATCTGTGGACATAGATGTGGGTGTATGGATGTCTCCAGAAGACTGGAGCACCAGGAACTCCCTGCTTCTACTGGGGGCTCTACTGGAGGTTCTGGGAGTTGAACCCAGGTTCTCAGGTTTGCACACTGAGCCATCTTGCTGGTGAGAGATGAGGAACTGACTCAGAAATCTGACTTCAGACTGAGTTTGTTGCCCTTAGAATGTGGCATGAGCCACCCAGTGCAGGCCTGGATGGACGGAAGGCGAGGAAGGACGTGTCTGTTCTCTACCTGAACTGAGCTGTTGATCTTTGACTGCCCCCAGATACCAGCACTCCTGCTCTTCACACTCAGACTGGAGCTGTTCAGGGTCTCAGGCCTTCCTCTTGCAGACATCTGCTCAGCCTCCAAAGTCACGTGATCTGACCTGATCCCTTGTGACAGATCTCTACATAGTCTTGTCTTGGCTTTATTTCTCTGAAGAATGCTGACTAATACACCAGCCAAAAGAAAACTGATGGCTGGTTCTTTAGTGCTTGTGTGGGAGTCAGCCTGAATCCCTTTCATTTGGCAGGCACTCAAAGGCAGGCAGAGGAGTTAGAAATCTTTAAAGTACAAGAGGGGAAGGTTCAGAGATACCCTGGCTGGAGACTTTCTGCACAGAAAACAGCAAGCAGGCTGACGAAGACAAGACACCTGCTGCCACTAGATAGGGGTGCATATTTGGATTTCTCTGGTTTATCCAACTTTAGAAGGAGAGACAAAATTAGGGAAGACATTGGTTATTAATTGTGTCCTGGGCATTTTGTGTCAACTGTTACAGAAGTGACTGCTTGGGTTTCGGGATTGGCACTGGTCTGGTGTCTCGCAAGTCTGACACATGGCAGTTTGGCTTCCTGAACTGTTTCTTATAGAAGGCTGCAGGCCGTGGCTCACACGGCTCTGTTGTCTTATATGCTCAGGTGGTTGTTTGTGTGCAAAGTCTGTCTCCCATCTTTCACAGAGACAGCTGTCTCCTAGCAGCTAACCTCTAGCCAGCAAGGAAGTTGCCAGCATATCTAGAGAGCCATTTTGGGAGACAGCTAGTTGTCATAGGCCACCTTGTCCTGAGTGCCTGAGGATGTACCTGCTTAAACCAGCACACTCTCCTAGCTCTGCACCATGACAGCACGGGAGGAAGGGAAGGCAATGGTTACAGCAGTGGACAGCTCTAAGTGAAAAGGAAAAGGGTTGGACTACAGTTTTCAGCCAAGGCTTAGAGCCCGGTGGACAGCTCTGAACACATGCTAATGCTGCAGAGCCTCCCCGCTCACCAACCATCCCACCCCCTTGTCTTAAAGAGTCTGCAGTCACAAAGCAAGGCTGGGCATCAGAATTCTCCCCCAAGCTTCCCATGTGATGTTAAGATGCAGCCCAGGCTGGCAGCTCATGACCAACATGAATAATAACCTCCGAGACACACCACGGGAGCATTGAGCAATTAGTGACAATGAAATCAGGGCAGGTAGCCAGGAAGCCTCTGATCTTTCAGGCCTACAATGTAGAGCTTTAGAAATATAAAATGAGTCTGAAGCTAAACCAGAATAGCAAATAGGTAAAGGTCATGGTGTGTGAGGGACTCAAGAGGCAAAACCAGAAAGCTGCAGCATCCGTGCAAGTGTGAGAAACAAATGATGCTTAGAACACATTCAAGCCAGAGGCATCCCAGCATGGAGAGGGGGTGTAGTCTCCCATCCCCTCCCTACCCAAGGAGCGATTTACCATTGGCCCCTGCTGGCAAAGGGAAATCGGCTTTCTCCCATACAGATAGGAGTGTCACTGGGCTTATCAGCCACACTCCAAGGCACGCCTTGTGCCCAGGAGTAGTTGCCCAACATAAAACACACTCTGGGGGTTTCGTTTGGGGTTTTGGTTTTGGTCTGTTTTGTCTTCGTTTTTTTTTTTTTTTTTTTTTTTTTTTTGTTTTTTTGGGTTTTGCGGGGGGTGGGGTGGGGTGGGGTTGTTTTTCATTTTCGAGTTTTTATGAGTTTATTTGACTTTATTTTTGAGAAAGAGAGAAAGACAACATAAAGTTATGTGGGCATGGGGGTGAGGAGGACCTTGGGGGAAGTGAGAATTGGAATCAAATGTACTGTATGAAAAATATTTTAATGGCTCTATGAAGGACAAGATACCTCCTTGCTGAGCTGCAGCTTTTGTTTTTTGTTTTAGTCATTAAAAAATGTTATCTTTCCATGTTAAAATGCCCATTTATCATATGTTTCCCATGTGACACATGTGCTTTTTGACGTAAGCACATGCATATCCTGCCTACTTTTAATAGAATTCAGAATAATTGAATTTTGGCAATTCTAAATGCTAAAGTACACACACACACACACACGTACATACACAGGCGCACACACACACGTGTACACACACACACACACACTCTCACACATACTTCATTTCTTGTCATTTCTAAATTTCCAGTCTGGTTTATTTGAGTTTGATACAACACCACCCCCTGGTGGACATTAATAGAACTGAACCTGCTTGGTTTAACAAGACCTATTAGCCCATCCAAACAGTTACATTTCTTCAGCCTCAACATAGCTCTCTCTTCAAACAAAATAATATGCAAAAACCTCAACAGAAAAGTGAAAATGAGCTATGCTGGCAATCTTCTATTCTCTACATTTTGGAATAATTTTTAAATATTTATTTAATGTATAGTGTGTGCCTATGTGTATGTGGTTGAGTGAGGGTGTGTGTGTGTGTGTGTGTGTGTGTGTGTGTGTGTATGTGTGTGTGTGTGTGTGGTGTTTTGAATAGGCACGCCCCCTCACAGGCTTATATATTTGAATGTTTGGTCATCAGGGAGAGGCACTACCTGGGAGGGCCTGGGAGGTGTGGCTTGTTGAGGTGGGTGTGGCTTGTTGAGGTAGGTGTGGCCTTGTTGGATGAAGTGTGGGATGAGCTTGTAGGTTTCAAGGGCCAAGCCAGGCCCAGTGGCTCTTTCTCTTCCTGCTGTCTATGGATCCAGATGTAGAACTCTCCTTCTCCAGCACCATGTCTGTCTGCATGCCACCATACTTTCCTCCATGATGGTAATGGGCTAAATCTCTGACACTGTAAGCCATCCCCAATTAAATGCTTTTCTTTATGAGAGTTGCGGTTGTCGGGGTGTCCCTTCACAGCAACAGAACACTGACTAAGATGTGTGTGTGTGTGTATACCTACAAAAAGGCCAGAAGAGGGTGCTGAGCCCCCTGAAACTGTAATTATATGAGGTTGTGAGCCATCTTAACTGCTGAGTCATCTCTCCTGCCTTGCCCCTGTATTTATGGCCAAACCCACATCTCCCCAAAATACCTTCAAGATACACTTTATTACCCAGACACAAAGGCACCTCCCTCCAGAATTAAATGACATCAGTGCCCCAAGATTGCTTATCTCAGTGAATGGGTGCATCTTCTTCCAAGCCAAGAGCACTCCTGAGGGTCCACAGTGTACAGGGACAGGCTAAAGGTTCCAAATAGACCTAAGTTAGGGAATCACACTAAAGTATTCAACTCAGCAATTCTCAAATTTATTTTATCACAAGACACATTCCTTTCCTTCCCAATAATTTTTAACATGAGGAATACTTTTGTACCGTATGTCGTTTAAAATGATGGTTCTGTGTCCACTAACAAATTAGCTCTTTGGTTGCCTAGACTACTGTCTTCAACAATGCTCATTCACTGTGTGGTCAGCCAGCTCCCAGTCATTTGTGGTAATGGAATATGCAGCCTAGGTGACTGCCATGGTAAATCCCTATTGTCAGCTTGATAAGACGGGGGATGGCTTAGGTGAGTACTAAAACATCCCTTGGGTGCGGCTGAGGGTAGACACAGATGACCTAATCAATGACTTAATCCATTGGTAGATCCAAGAATTCAATTAACTATTGGAGAATGAACTACAGGAGGTGGGGGCTGGTTGGAGGCGGTAAATAGCTGGCGGTGAGGGTGGAGGCTGTATCTGGCCCTGGTCGTTCCTGCTGCCTCTCCACTCTGCTTTTTTGCAGGCGTAAGTGGAACAGCTTTGTTCTCAAGGGTCTCCCTCAAATGATGGACTGAAACTGTGAGAAAACTAATTCTTCAGGCTGTTTCTATTAGGCATTTCATCCCAGAAACAACAAAACATGCACAGTGACAGACAGCTCCTAACTGGTGCTGCTTTCAGAGGCAACTCCACCTTCATCATCAACTATCGTTACCAGCTAAAGGGAGGAAGCAGCTGCCGCCTGCGCTGTCAATGACCATGCTTTGCCTTCAGGAGCTCTGCACTGCGAGATCTTATCTAGAGGGATGGTGACACTTGCTTGATTGAATCTATGACCCAAGAGGATGGTGCAGAGCTCAACAACTGACAGGGATCTGCTGTGTTACCCACCCATTGTCTCCTCTTACAAGTTTATGAGCTAAAGACACAAAAACCCTATTACTTACATCACCCATGTGCGAGTGTTAGATCCTCCCCAATGCTATCCTGTATAGCAAGTATTTTTTAATAACATATTTTGGCAAAAATAGGAGTTCTGTGTCCTGTGTTGATATTGGCAAGCTTCTTAAGTCTGCTAATATGTGCTGCATGATTTCTAATTTTGAAAACAAAGAAGGTCAGATTCAACTTTCAAGCAGTGGAAACATTATGAGGCCCAAGTTAAAGACTTCAAACTGTGCATTGATCAATACTACCTGGGGTTATTTGCTGTCCTTTGACATCAGCTACATCTTTGACATAGGTGCTGGGGTTCTGAGGGTATGGATCCATTCCATCACCAGCCTGGTGGCTTCCAGAGCAGAGCCCCAGTGCACTGAGATGCCCCCACTCCCATGGCCATAGTTGTGGACCACAAGCAGCCTCTGTCCTCCTTGGACTAGGAGCTCCTTCTGCAGACGCACGTCTGGCCGGCTGGGCCTCAGGCCCACTTTCTCTTCTATGCTGTAGGCTCTGTGAAGGGAGGGCTCAAGAGCACAGCATCGAGAAAAGATCTCTCTGCTGAGTTCCGCATCTGGGGATAGATTCCAGTCTCCCTCCTGTCTGGTTCCTCCCAGGGTTACATAGGATGTACCAGGGTAGACATACGTCAGGCCACTCCCATCCCGGATGAAATGCTTCACCCAGGGGGCCTGTACCCGGAGCACTTGGCCCCTTACAGGGGAAATCGTGGAGTCGCCCACAAGTTGCCGGCTTCCCAGACCTGAGCAATTGACCACAATGTCAAAGGATGGCTGTAGCTCCCACAAGTCTTCTATTCTCCTGGTGAGTAGCAGACCTCCACCTTCCTTTATCCTGGGAAAGAGAGACTGGGGTGAGCCTTAGCCACCTCTCACCCACTTCCCAGAAATGAAGGGCAGGACCACAGGAACAACAACAAAACAACAAGCTCCTGGGAGCTTCCAGGACTCAGGGCCTCATAGTCTAGCTCCATCCTTGGCCAACAGAGACTCCCGAGGTTAGCACTAAATGAAAACCTATTTTGGAAATCCAAAACAAAGAAAATCATATGTTTCTCTCTTAAAACATTTTGCAAAGAGCTCCTATATTGAGATGCAAAATAAATACCAAATCGATCTGTGCTTTAAACACCCAAGCACTTTTTGTTCAGACACGACTGCCTCCACATCGAGGAACATGTTGTTAATTCTTGCATGTGCCTTTGTATTAGTTCGCTCTGGTAGATGGTTTCACTTTCTGTCTCTGTCTCTCTGTCTCTGTCTCTCAGAGAGAATGTTTCACAAAAGGAACAAAATATACAGCTGATGGAATAAATGACAGCTATTTTTGGACCAAAAATAATGAGACCAAAAATACTTTAATAATGAGAAGGGATGGTTTAGCAAGCCTTGTAATCATTGCTGAATTGCAGGATAATATACACAGCATAAAACCTTACCACTGGGGCCATTTTTAAGTGGCATATTGTAAGAGGCAATGTGTAAGCTTACATTGTTGTTCAAACATTACCACCACCTGTCTCAGCAACTCTTTCCATCTTGAATGTGGAAATTCTGTAGCCATTTAAAAAAAGAATAATAGCTGGGCACACGCCTTTAATCCCAGCACTCGGGAGGCAGAGGCAGGCGGATCTCTGTGAGTTCGAGACCAGTCTGGTCTACAAGAGCTAGTTTCAGGACAGCCTCCAAAGCTACACAGAGAAACCCTGTCTCGAAAAACCAAAAAAATAAAAAATAAAAAAAGAATAATAACCCCCAATAATCTTGTCATCTAAATCCCTTGTAATCCTATAATCTTATTCCCAGGTCCCTTATAGGATACAGGGGATTTAATATAAAAGACTTTGGCAGTTTGTCTAACCGATGCAGGTTGGTGATCTAGAAGCAAAACATTGCTGAGAGGGACAAAAATATTGTGAGACATAGTGCCCTTTCCCAAGGGCCAGAAAAAGAACTGGGAGACGGTGTAGACAGCTGGCAGTGTGAGGTTTTAACATACAGATACAGATATGCGCATGCACACATGCCCAAGCGGCCCCTCGAGCACGCACACACACACACACACACACACACACACACACACACACACAGTTGGTTCCATCTCAGGGGAACTCTGACAAATAAAGTGGTCCCCCAGAGGTGTCTGTCCCCCTGTCTGTCTGTTGTCACTCCAGCACTTTCCAGAGAAAATATGGGGAAGACAAGACTGACAGCAGAAACAGAGGTTTGGGTGCCTGTGCGCTCCCTGCATGCCAGCACACCATCCTCCCTTCCAGGCCAGATGGACAAAGGGCTCATGAGAAGGAAAACACAAGAAAAGTCAGAATGTCTAGACAGAGCCTGAGGATAGAAGGTGTAATGACGGCACAGTTTCATCACTGATTTTAACTCAACAAGAAAAGACTCTGACATTCTACTCCTTCTGGCTGGAAAGCTCAACTGAAACTTGCACTGAGATCTGGAAGGAACTGGCCTTTTGACACTGTCCCCAGTTCTAGAAAACACCACAAGCAGAGGAGAGTAACAAGTGAACAGCATGGCCGCTCGCAGTGTCACAGGCCCCAACATCAGCTCAGCTTTTGTGAGTAGAGTTTTGTCTTCTCCACAGCTTAGGAGATGGTGACTGACAGCCAGAGCCTCACCCCCTTACTCTCCACGCCCCTGCCATTAAAGGGACTGCTCCTATAGCACCACTGAGCAATTGAAGGCCAGCCAGAAACCTCTGGATTGGATTCATGTATTATACATTAAATATTTACAGAAGGCCCAGCTGTGCTAAGCCCTCAATAATTTGAACCTGGAGTGTACTTTCCATTCAGTCCAAGAGGTTTCAAGCTCTAATTTTTGCCCTGTGTATCCTTGCTTGTTCTTCAGAAAACCAGTGGGAGGCTGTGGCATTTACCTGCAGCAAAAAAAAAAAAAAAAAGCCCAAAGACATTGGCAAGCATCTACCCAGGGCCACAAACAACCAATAAAAACATCTGGTGTGACAGAGTGACTGTAAGCAGTGAGAATGAAAGTTTCCACTCTCTCCATGGAACAATTTGGAAACTGAGATTATGTTTGTTAGGTGTACACTAATGAACAGTGCTGTTAAAGTGCTCAGGCCAAACGTTGCCAAAAGAAGAGGGAATTGGTGTTTTGTGGCAACACTAACCAGTACTCCATACTGTGTTTGTGATGTTTAAGAAATAAACACTAACACCACGGAAAGATGGAGTGAAAAGAACGTAAGAGCCAGAAGGCGGGGAAGAGTGCTGAGGGAGAAAAGGTCTACTGGACGTTATACAGCTGTTGCGTTCATGAACTCCCAGCAGCTGTTGTGAGCTGCACAAGCCTGAACCCATCAACATTTCACCATGGGTGGGGAGGGCTCAGGAGACCCCACACTTGCCTCCGTAGCTGCTAGAGAAGGAGGGATCGTTTATTTCAGTGGTGCAGCCATTGATAATTTTCCCATGCTGTAGTAAATAAGCCCCACCCAGGTTCTGCAAATAGCCCTAATTAAACACAATGGGTCACAGAAAAAGAAAAAGGGAAAATACACAGAAGTAGGACAGGAGCCGTCTGGAAGAAAGGTGTGCTATTTAGGTTTTGTTTGTTTCTATTTTGGTTGACTTGACACAGCTACAGTTATCTGAAAAGAGAGAGCCTCAACTGAGAAAAAGCCCCCATCAGATTGGCCAATAGGTAAGCCTGTGGGACATTTTCTTGAGTGATAACTGGCATGGGAGGGCCCTGCCCACAGTGGTTGAGGCCATCCCTGGCCAGGTGGTCCTGAGTTCTATGAGAAAGCAGGCTGAGCAAGCCTGGGGAGCAAGCACCCCAGTAAGCAGCTCCCTCCATGGCCTCCGAATCAGCTCCTGCCTCCAGGTTCCTGCCCTGCTGGAGTTCCAGTCCAGACTTTCCTTCAAGACAGACTGTGGTATGAACATGTAAACCAGAGAAACCCTTTCCTCCCCAAGTTGCTTTGGTCATGTTTTACCAGAGCAATAGAAAGCAAACAGGACAAAGGGTTTTGAAAGAGGGGGAGGGAAACAAGAAAGGGCAATGGGGCTGAAAAACAACTACAATCATTATATACACACATAAAACTGCCAAAAAAATTGAAGAAAGCAAGTTCCAAGGAAAGACTTTTGGGAAGCAGGACCATCTACCCCTCACTTCCGCTATAACCTTGTCACGCTAGAAAACTTCTCTAAGCTTCCAGCCTTCCCTTCCTCCATATTGCTGCCAGACTGCCCTCATCAGCTTGTGGAAATGAAACGGGACAACATCTGGACCAGGGCTGACAAATGTGTCACACACCACAGCTGTAGTTGCTCAGTCAGAGCTTTGCTAGAAAAATAAGAAGGATCAAGGGTTTGTCACACCATTATGGAACACAAGCCTTGCTATGTGGATGTGGGTAGCCTGCTCCACAGATGTGTGTCACTTATATTTAGCTATGGTCACTGAGATTCTTTAAAGGTTTTAAGTGGCTCTTCTTTTGAACACTGTCTTGGTTTTGTTTTTCTTTGAATAGACTGTAGGTTCCACACGCTAGTCTTTGAACATTATGTCCTGTGCTTGGCCATTCTAATCAGAACTCAGGGTTATTTTTTCTAATTCAGGGAAATAAGTGAACTTGCCAGTCGTAGGATTCATGCAAATTTCTTCAATTCACTGAACTTGTTTCCTTAACAATAGCCTAGGGATAAGACCGTGCCTGGCTCAGAGTAGTTAGGTCTATGTGAGAATTTAATAAGTTCAATAAATGCAAATGTCCTTCTTTTTTGTTTCAACAGACCTCGCTAGGAGCAGTGGTAAAAGCCCAACATGTCACTGGAGATAAGGTAGGTGATCTATGGCAGCAGGGCTTTTGGAAGACCCAGCCAGGCTTGCTGTGCTGGGTCCCTCTTAGACCTCTTTCCCAGGAAGAAACCTGCTACGCATGCCCAGAGACAGGTTACCATGCTCTGTTTCAATGTGAGTGGATGGTGCTGCCCACCCATGTATCACTATGTATCTCAGGCAAGTACATCATGAGCCTGGCACCAGTGTAGAGGAGGACACTGTATCCAGAATCCAGATACTAACTTAAATGACCAAGGGCCAAGAAGTCACTTTTACAACCATATGAAGCTGCTATTACAGGTAACATATCTATTACCAACTAGGGATAGAAAATACTGTCATTTTCCTCAGGAGATTCTGGCAGGGAGCAAGACACCATTTTGCAAGGAGAGCATACCACAGCCCCATAACCTATGAGGAAAGGGGGGCTCCATTAACTAAGGGAACTTACCGGGAAGAAGGGACTCCGCTGGAGAAACCCTGTAGTGAGGACTGGCAGGAGGAAGCAGGGGGAGAGTACAGCCTAGGGAAGAGGCAAGCCAACCCCACAGAGCTACCAACCATGCCTTGGAACCCACTCTCCTGGGATCAACTCACTGAAACACATTCTAATAGTTTTGGGGTTTGGGTTTTTGTTTTGGTTTGGTTTGATTTGGTTTTTGGAGACAGGGTTTCTCTGTGTACCTTTGGAGCCTATCCTGGCACTCGCTCTGGAGACCAGGCTGGCCTCGAACTCACAGAGATCCGCCTGCCTCTGCCTCCTGAGTGCTGGGATTAAAGGCGTGCACCACCAATGCCCAGCACATTCTAATAGTTTTATAGGAACTTAATGAATAGAAAATGAGGAACAGTAAACATTTTTAATCACTTAAAATCCAGGTGGTTTCTAAGCTGCCAATCACTCCTTTGAGACAGACTATACCTTATTTTGAGAATGTTATCCAAATAACTCTCTGCATTGCAATGCTATAAAGTGAAAACTCCCACATGTGTGTCTGCTCTGGAGAGGAGGTAAAAGAGTTGGGGCTACACCTTTGCAGACTGTATGCCCTGGCCAAGAGGCAGGAGACTGGTAGTGTGTCCAGGCCCTGCTGGCATCTGAGACATCTGAGCATCCTCCCTTGGAGAGCGCAGATACCAGTCCAAAAGCATGGAGGAGGCCGGAGGCAGAGCAGGGCTGCCTGGAGTTGGGGTTCAGAGCAGAATGTGCTGTTCCCCACAGGAGTGAAAATAATGTAGAGACATTTGTGCCTCTTATTTTAGCTATCAGACAAATGAAAAATAACCCCCAAGAAATTGAGATATCCCCAGGAATATCTCATGCCAGGAGATATGACCCTAGTCTGAGACCCTAGTGTCAGATGGGAGGGGGTCTCCTGGAAAGAGGTTTTATGAAGCCCTTGCTCGTTAGCCCACCTTGCAACAAAGACTAGAGGTGAACACAGTGGAGATAGACAGACCGCACCCTCACCAGAGCTGTTCAGCTATTTGTACCACTGGCCTTCTATTTAAACCCAAGCCTAATTCTAGCACCCTGAAGGTGGATATGGTTCTGGGGGGGGGGGTGAACTAGACCTCTTTGATCTTCCTCACAATGTGGCTAGACTGAATAATGATGAGCTCTGATCCTAACAACTCCGTTATCTGAAGGAGGACATCTTTCTTGGTATGGAGTCAGCTCTCCTCTCACCCTAGAATGAAGAGAAGTGACACTAGTGGGGGTCTCCAATCAGAATGAGTTTTTAGTCACCACCTGAAAAGAGGTTGGAGTGAGAGGTGAGACACATCCAGGGGTGTGGAAGCCGCATTGAAGATGAGGCGTGTCTGAAATGAAGAGAGGGAGGCATGGCCAGGGTTGGGATCAAGACGGGACTTCATTAGAGAATTACATCGGGGTTATACATGCATTGTTACTGGCTTTTAACTGGACTCCTGCTCTCAACCTGAGCAGTGGCACCTTATCATACTAATCACTCCAGGCCACACTAGACCTCTGGGCCCTTGGAGGAGGGAATATGGGTGTGGTTCAGGGCCTCTATAGGTCCTGAAGGGGAGTGGCCATCTCCCTTAGTCCATAGAGGAGGTGTTGAGAAAGAAAATCCAGCCACGGAGATGCCTTAGAGCATCTTAATAAAAGCCACCAAGGCCATTGTACCCTGCACATCCTTCTTCTGTTCACTACAAGCCTTACTGCCACCATCAGGAAACACAGGCAGCATCCTCTTGCCACCTTTGACAGTGTCCTCTCACTTTGTCCTTGCCCACCTATGGAAAAACCAAGAGTGGACACACTCAGCTTTGGAGCCTGCAGTCTCACACGCCCCTGCCCAGGCACTGAGAACAGATGCAGGGCAGGGAGAAAGTGCCTAAGGCAATGGTTCTCCACCTTCCTGACCTGCAACCCTTTAATACAGTTCCTCACGAGGTGGTGACCCTGGTGACCCCTAAACATAAAATTACTTCATTGCTACTTCATAACTGTAATTTTGCTACTGTTGGGAATTGTAATGTATATATCTGATATGCAGGATATCTTATCTGTGACCCACCCCCTGGGGGGGAGGGGGTGTCGTGACCCACAGGTTGAGAACCACTGCCCTAAGGGCTATTTCAGAGGGAAAGCTATGTTCCCATAGTCCTCCTGGGCTAGACAAGAGGATCAAGAGTCTACTCCATACAAGAAAAGGCCCTTGCAAGTTGGACAGGCATAAACTGGGAGAGCCTGTCCCCTGGGTGATACCCGATGCAGGTGTGTATTTCTATATAACTCCCTAGGAAGCCACAAGAGTCTGGCAGATGGAAGAAAGAACACAAGGAATATGAGCAAAAATGGGGGTGCAAGGCCTGCCAAGGCAAAGCAACAGAGATGCCTATCAGCATGGGCAGGGAGGTCAGGGCTGGGTTCTGTGTGGGCTACCTCAGAGCCATGAAATAAGGCCTGGTGTCCTGGAAAGAAATCAACCCATCTAAATTATAGGTCTCCAGCACTGAAAGGGACCACCAGGCTTTCTAGATGTCACCAAATTCAGGGTGGCTCTGGCCCCTTCACGATAATTTATTTGGGTAGGCTGCCTGGCAGGAGACTTATTGCCTCTATATTCATTTCCTGGGGTGACAAGCACAAAAGCAACCAAGCAGGTGACTTTACTGTCCCAAGATATAAAATATTCCCTGCATGGGTGATTAAGCCTCTGAGGGCTTTTGTGTGTTGAGTTGTTCTAGACATTATGGGCAAAGTTTGAGAAGGAGATGGTCTAAGTTACAATAAAATCATGTATTTTTCCTGGGTTGATGAAACATCCTGGCAGGCACTGAGGCTGCAGCCATTGCTACTCGGCATGCTGGGAGGAATGTTCTCTTCTGCATGAGGACACAGAAGGCTGAGTGTTCACACTGTGGAGAAGAGGCGGAGGCGGCTGCAGAACAGGACCAAGTGTAAGGAACAGCAGGGATTGAGTGGCTGCCCATCTGGGGCTTCCCAGCCCACAGAGTGAACCCCAGATGTCTTATTCCCTCACAGCGACATCATCCTGCCACCTACCAGCCTAAAGGGCTCCTCCTGGGCTGTAATGAGGCCCGGCCCCTGCTCCACAAGCCTTCCATAGAAGAAAAGGGGGTAGGTAGCCTTTGTCTTCCACCATATTGCCCATCTGGCCAGATGCCAGGCTCATTAAGTAGATTAAAAAGCAAAACAAAAAGAAGATCAAATTTCAAAATACCTCTGGTCCACAAACATTTCAGATAAGGGTGATGGACCCAGTCCCAGATTTGGGGATTGACCGGGGTTATGTTTTTCAAGTTCCCAACCTCATGCACTGGATGAGCAAACCAGCAAGAGAGTCATTGATGCATCTCAGGTGAAAATACACTTGCTGTGTATCCTAAAACGCTAGGAAGAGGAAGTGCTGAAAACCAAGCCAAAAGGAAAGGTTTAAGGACTGAATTTTAAGGAAGCAATCACATACTTTAGATAAGCCCTCAATTTTAATGTTCTTACTCATAACCAAATTAATACTCATCATCATAATAATGAAGCTATTTTCACTGAAAATGAGAAAAAATTAAAAATAATTTATGGTAAACATAGGAGTTTCTCTTCCAAAGAAGTAAAGCTTTAAATGTGTTATCCGAATGCCTCTATGGTCCGCATGAGCAAACTAAGATCTTGGCTTTTTTCTGAGGGGATGGGAACAAATGAGGCACCAAGTTACCGTGAGTGTGGTACAGACTTAGTCCTGGCCAACTGTACACTCTCCAGAGGCTTCCACAGCCCTGGCCATTTGTGTAGCTGGATAGTACAAGAGAGCCCTGAGGAGCCCCAGAAAGCCAGCTGTGTGCTTTATGAACAGCTGTGCAATAATTTACCACCATGTCAAACAGGAGAAAACAAGGGCATTTCAACCAACCTTTTCTCCAGCCATGGGAGGTAGGCAGAAGTCTCACACTTCAGAGTTGTAAAAGCCTGACCAAAGATGTGTTGAGGGAATCGCTTCAGCTCAGCCTCTGTCATCTTTCGAAATCCCAGAACAACATCAGCCCAGAAAGGCACCTCCTCATGGGGGACACTCCGGAACACCTGCCAACTGAAGCACGGGAAGCAGAAGAGGCTCCTTAAAGTCTGTGGGATCGTGTGCTTTTCATAAAGTTCACATAAAATTCCCTAACACATTTTAAAACTTCACTTGCTGTCAACACAGAGAAAGCAATCGATTCTTCCATCTCTCTGGGGTTCAGATACCTGAGTAGCCAAGTTCAGATGTTCTCAGCTGAAGGAGTCAGACATCTGTAAAGAACTCAAGGGGCTGGCAGGCAATTCAGTGGTGGGGCTCCCAGCTGGCATGCACCAGGTCAGAGTCGCAGCCCCAGCATGACAAACAATAAGTAGAATGCCTTTTTTTAACCTTAATAAAGTTTATATATATATGTATGTACATACATACATATATATAGGTACTCTCCAATTCAGAATAGGATAGAACCTCCCATAGTGTAACGTAGCATGCCTTCTTAAATCTTCAATTTCATTAATTTTCTTCTGAAATGGTTTTGCCATGATTTCCTTTTTAGCATGTTGACTATGTGTTTTATCTAAATACATATATTTATTTGATTTTTCTGAAATGGTTTTACCATGATTTCCTATTTATACATGACTATTTATACATCTTGCACCATACTTTATATAAAAAAAGAAAGGAAAATAAAACAAATTCAAAGGTTAGCCTTGATTTTGAACATGATATCTTAATTGGTAGGATTTTGTTTGTTTGCTTGCTTGTTTCTGAGACAAGGTCTCACTATATATATCTTTGGCTGTCCTGGAACTCACTACATAAGCCAGGCTGGCCTTCAACTCAGTGATCCTCCAGCCTCAGCCTCCTGAGTGCTGGGACTAAAGGTGTGCTGGATAATGGAAGGAAGCAGGTGTGTGATTGTAAGTCAGTTCTAGGCTATGAAGGCAGGAGTCACCAGTGGAACCTACTGGGGGAGGGGCTCAGAATGGTATGGGTAGATGAGTAGACACTGGTATTGGTGGTCAACAAAAAGCCTGGAATGCTGGATGAATCTGATCAAAGTACATTGCATGAAAGTTTCAAAGAATCAATAAAATAATTTTTAAAACAACTTTAGATGTTAAAAAAAGAAGCAGCAGCATGTAACAGACTGCCAATAGTGGCTACACATTCGGGCTTTTTAAGTACTAGGCCATTTCTATGAGCAATTGGCAACCATCCTTTCTCTGAAGCATCAAAGACACAAACCTGAATGCTGAAGATGTGATTGCTCACACACCAGAGTTCGTGTCTCTAAGTAGAACAATTCACCCAAAGCAAACCCTGAGAAGGTGAAGTGTTGCTTGGGCATGGGAAGCCGTTCTCCTTGTCATCGTGCACACCCTGCCTGGGCTGTGGCCCTCCTCCACAACTTTGCCACCTCGGCCCCACCCCAAGAAGTATCCAGTTCTAAAATGGTAACTATCTAGCCCAATACTAGTAAGAATCCTCCTTGATCCATAGCTACTTCCCCATACCAGCAATTTTTTTTTCCAGTTTTTGAGACAAGGTCTCTCTATGAGGCCTGGCTGTCCTGAACTTACTCTGTAGACCAGGCTGGCCTCGAACTCACAGAGATCCACCTGCCTCTGCCTCCCGAGTGCTGGGATCAAGGGTGTGCACCACCACCACCCAACTTAACTATTACACCCCATCAAATCTCCTTTTAAGCATTTCTTAAATCCATCTACTCTATCTGCCTACTTTCCATGTATCCTGCTGGCCTCTCTTTCCCCAAGTTTAGTCTCTACTCTTCGGATAAAATGCTTTTGCAATGCAAATATGAACATTACCTCCATGTGTAATGTGCCCCAGTGACTTCGCAATACACCATAGTCACCTGAGACTGGTCAGGGTGTGGGCTGTCCTCTCTATCACACCTGTCTCCTCTGGGCCCATCCCCTCTCTATCCCTTTGCCTGTATTAACTTACACTCTCTTGAAGGTTTCAAAGGAATCACTTTTTCCTACACAGCTTCTGATGAGCTTCTGGAGCAAGTTTCTTCTCTAGACACATATCTGTCTTTACTCCAGCCTCTGGTAACAAATGTTCCATTAGTAACTTGTAAGATTTAGGACATTCCCCACAGGCCACAACCACTTGAGGAAAAGAATGTGTCTGTGTTCGGTAGAATTCACTTAACACATATTTATTAACCATTTACTATTTGTAGAAGCCATCATTGCCATATCCCGAAGACCTAGAAGACCAGTAGAGAGGGTGCTACTACCAAAATTCTTTTTGAAGAAATGAAGATTAAAGTTATATCAAATACACACAAGACATTTGTAAAGCCTTCATTTCGAAATGACAGAATACTGGAACATGTCTGTTTCTAAAAAAAAAAAATTACTTAGAGACAACGTTGATGAATTACTATTGGTTTTGGGATAGGTTCAGCGTGACTGTAACACAGTGACTACCATGCTTCAATATGGCTCAGCAACTAACATTGGGGAGAAAGAATAGGCCCTGCCATTAAAACGAGTAAGTCCACAGCTTGATGGTTAAACAGAACCTGCTTCTTTGGATAGGGGCTTTGGAAAAGTGGCGATTATATGGTGAGGGAAGGTGTCTTGGTTAGGGTTTCCATTGCTGTGAAGAAACAACATGGTGACAGCAGCTCTCATATAAAGGAAACATTTCATTGGGGCTGGCTTACAGTTCAGAGGTTAGTCCGTTATCCTCATGGCAGGAAGTGTGGCGGCACCCAGGTAGACATGGTGCTGGAGAAGGAGCTCAGAGTTCTACATCCAGACCCTCAGGCAGCAGGAAGAGAGACACACTAGGCCTGGCTTGAGCTTCTGAAGCCTCAAAGCTCACCTTAGTGACACACTTCCTCTAACAAGGCCACACCTACTCACAGTGCCACTCCCTAAAGGCCTTTGGGGCCATTTTCATTCAAACCACAAAAGGCAAGAAGGGAAAGAGCAGAAGCCCTTCTGCTATTAGTAAGCACTTAGAAGAGGTGTCTATAGCCTGGAGCTTTCTTCTGCTGCTGCTGCTGCTGCTGCTTTTTGAAAAATGTTTGTTTACTTACTTATTATACGTATATGATTGTGTGATGCATGCCTTTATATGTACTGCAATTCAGGCAAGAGCCCACAGAGACCAGAGGGGACATCAGATCTCCTGGAACGAGATACAGGTGGCTATGAGTGCTGGGAGCTGAACCCAGGTGCTCTGTGAGAACAGAAAATGTTCTTAACCACTAAGCCATCTCTCCAGTTCCAAGATGGGTACTTTTTAAAATAAGTCTTGGTGGCACAAAGATGGAATAGCACTTGGAAACACCCTAAAGGTAAGCATCCATCTGCTCTTCAGAAGGCTGTGTTAGCACACAGGACAGCGTTTGGTGACTCTGATATCCAAAGACCCTAAAGTACTTAGTAATCTCTACTTCAGAGGATGTAGAATGCAATTATCATGTTTTAAGTGCTGTTTGTGTTAGAGATGTTAAATTGAGTTGGGGCGTGGGGGGCTCGGAGAGATGGCTCAGCAGTTAAGAGCACTGAATGCTCTTTGAGAGGACTCAGGTTAAATCCCCAGCACCCACATGGCAGCTCACAGCTGTCTGTAACTCGTCTTCCAGGGGATCTGATTCCCCCATACAGACACACTTGCAGGCAAAACATCAATGTATATAAAAATAAAATAAATAAATAATTTTTAAAAAGAAATGTTAAATGAGACTTGTTCTCAAACCCCTCTTAAGTATGCATTTCCTCTGAATCAGATACCAACAATCAAACAGAAAGGCAATCAGCATTTCAGAAACACTAATTCCAAATGGCACTTCAAGAGATGAGTCTAGGGCTGAAGCTGTAGTTGAGTTGTAGGGCACTCACCCAGCATGACCTAGCAGGCACAAGCCCTGGGTTCAATCTCCAACACCACCCCTTCCCCAAAAAGCAACTTTAGGATGTACAAAACTTACTTTTGGGGGCCATCTTATTTTGTAATGATTCTCAAATAAATAAGTCATTACTCTGCCTAAGGTCTCTGTATCCATTCCAGTGTCACAGCTTGCTGCCGTCCACCAGCTACACACCCAAACTCAGTGCTTATGCACAATTCAGGATCTTTGCTTGTTTTTCTCTTTATTTTCAAACCACTTCACATTCTTTGAAGAAATTTAAAAAATATTTATGATAAGAAATTGCAATGATTATTTAGTTAAAAAAAAAAAAAACAACCTAATTCTGTTAAGTTTTCTGAAGCAGTTTCTCCCTCTAACAAATATAATCTGCTGATCTCTGGTCTCTGTCTTGTTCTATTTCTACGACTACAAATTCCTTTTCTTACCCAGACACCAGATGAACACCCGCATCTACAGCTTCTGCAGACTTGGCAATTTCGGACAAGTGTTGGAAGGTCTCCGTAAACCACTGCTTCAGCGTGGGCACAGGCGTGTCTGCGTAGTGATGGAGAGAAGCAAAGGGCAACAGAGAGGAGATGATCATGACACAAATGTAGCCAGGGAGGAGATTCAGACAGAATACACAGAGCTTTCAATGTTACTGATGGAGGGGCAGCAGGCTAGGCAGGGCAGCCTGACCCAGGAGCCAGAAGCATACGTAGTATGTTCCTAAGATGCCAGCCAGAGCAGGAATGCCTGTATGAGTGGGAAATCTAACAGTCTATTGTTGGGACAATAGACAGAACTGAGAGGATCCTTACAAGTGGGCTGGAAATACAGAGGGTGACCAGCAGGGCCCCCAGTCTGTATTAGTAAAAAGACCTTTAAATAAATCACTAGTTATAAAACTAACAAATATCCCTTTAATATTTAATAAACATTGTCATCAGTGAAAAGTGTACCTGTGTGAATGCAACACTCTCTCCCAAAATTGCAGACAGGCTGCTTGTTTGGAGATGAAGAAGAAATAATAGCTGTGCTGCAGAATTATGTTAGACCTCAATGGACTGCCCTACGTCGGTATGGAGAGATGGTTTAATATGCATTTCTAAGTTCCTACCCCTGAACCCTAAAAATGGAATAGTAGCTAAGAGCCTCATGCTACAGAAATCATCTCCGGATAACAGACAATTCTAGTTCAACTTCGGATTGAGCAAGCATGGTGACCTAATTCATATTCAAGTTCTGGTCGAACAAAACTATAGTAGCCAGAGTGGCAGGAATAATTTGCAAATGCAGATGGATGGATGGTTCTGTGCAGGGCACTGGTTTGAACTCTGAATATTAAGCTCATTTAATCCTTACAAGAGTCTGCCGGTAGGCATGGGGCTTATTTATTACTAGTGCTGGCCTGGATCATGTCTTAGGAAGAAGTCTGGGGAGCAGAGCAAAGCCTTCTTCTAGCAACAGCAGAAAAACAAAGTAATGCAGGACACCAAGTCACTGAGCCACAGAGAGAGCACAGGCATCTGTGAATGGATGAACTCTCAGATAAAGCGCCTCCTTTGAAGATGTCCAGGGACACCAGGCAGCCTTCAGGATCACTCCCGAAGGCCTGGTATAAGCAAGGGGACTCTGAGCAGTGGTCTCAAGAAAGGCACCTAGTATAGAAATCAGCATCTTGGAAATATACCCATCTCTCACCTGGATACTTGTGAGGAATGAGCATTCCAGCTGCCACATTACTGGTGGTATCAGGAGTGAACTTGTCTGAGATGACGGTAATGGAGCTTCGGGGAACCAGCTGGGAAATGCACATGGCGGTTGACAGCCCTATCACCCCAGCTCCGACAACTGCAATGTGCACTGTGTCCATGGCCTGGGAGGAGGGAAATGCAAACCTTCTTTAAGGAATCATTCTGCCCAGATGAAGTTCCGGCCTACAATTCTTTCCTTATGTCAGGCAGCCTCTCAGAGTTAAGACTCCCTTCTGAAGTCCCCATGGGTGAAGCCCAGGAGCTCTTTAACCTCTCGTTCCATTAAACAGCAGTGTGAGCTGTGAGGTCTCTCCAAGCATTTAGCAACCAAACCAAAACCAGCCTAGCTTTTCTGCCACACTCACCACCAGTAATCACAAGGCATTTGGGGACAGATTTCTAGTCATTGCACCTGCCTGAACTTTTCCCCTGTAGGCACATCCTAGGGCGTGCTGGTGAGGTAAACAAGGCCTGGAAAGCTGCTGAGCTATGACCTCTGCTCCTATGACCTGCTGGGGAGCAGACACAGAGGCACCACCAGAAGCATTTGTGAGATCTGTTTTGAATGATAACATCAGAGAGAGCTTGAGTGACAGAAACCATCATCATTTTCCCATCTTCACGGTCTCTGGGAACCTCCCTTCCCAGCCTCCTCACTGCCATCACTGTCTCCTCCTAGAACTCTAGGCCTGAACTCCTGACCTGGACAGCATATTTTCAAAATAAGGGAAGCTGGGCTCCTGGCTGGACTGCACCATGGATGATTCCATAACATGAAGGAATGGCCCATGGCCTTCAAGCCTCCATGCCCTTATGAAGACAAGACCAAATGAATTCTTATTAGTCCCTTAAGTGGTAAATGAGAGGCCATGGAGGCTGTCTCCCAAATAGGCCTCTTGTGGGAGGGTATGGGGAAAATGTAGGTGTCAGGTGCCTGTGGCTGCCACCCTGAGGCTGACATGTTGTGTGGGAGGTAAAGAGAGTGGCAAAGATTTCAGTACCCTCCTACCTCTCACCAAGTCAGCAGGGATCCATGACTCCCTGCAGCGCTAGCAGCCTCCCTGCCTGGCCTTCACTTTTGGCTTGCTAAATCTGCTCCCTGACCAGCTTCCTCTGCCTGGCTCAATTCCAAATTAAGGAGAGAGAAAAAAATATAACAATCAATCCAGTTAGTCATTGCCACTTTGAGAGGCAAAGTTTTAATACACAGCCAGCTATTGGGGCTGTCAGCATAAAAACCTGTCCTTGAGTTGGCTGGTGGCGCTATGCTTTACGACCCTGGGGGTACTTTATGACAAGCGCGCAGCAATGACGCACAGAGCATAGCAACCACCCTGGGAGGGCCTATGGGCCATAACAACCAGTTGGCCAGTCAACACAGGGCAAATCCTCCAAGCCTGGAGGCACACCAATCCTGAGCCTGTGCGTACCCCTAGACACTCCCCTTACGCTGCCCTACAAGATCTCTCGGGCGCCCCGAGGAGCTGTCTTTGCTAGCCATCTGCCATGGCGGGTGGGTGAAAGACCCGAGCTAGCATGGGATTAGCTCATTAAAAAAAAAAACAAAACAATAAAGCCTCATGCAGTTTGAAAAAAAAAAAAAAAAACCTGTCCTTGGCACAATCCCTTCTTGCAAAGAGCAATGGCCAGTGAAAGGTTCAGGCATTATGCTGGCCTGCCCCTGTTACCTGGTGGAACAGGCAGTATCCTGGTCAGCCCAAGGGTCCATGGGAACTAAGTCTGCACAGAGGTGCAGAGGACCCCTTTAAAAGACAGGTCCCTGCCCGTTTACACTCTCTGTTTCCGCTCTGCTTCCACTCCCTGCTTTCTCTCTACTCTTTCTCCCACCTATGCTCTCTCTCGGTCTGTCTATGGCGACCGGCCATGGCAGTCAGCCATTTACCCTGTTCCTTTCCTCTTCTTAGTCTCCCCATTCTGCTGGGCCATATAATAAACTTATAGTCAACATGTCTCATGTCTCAGCATTCCTCTTTTCTTCTTTTTAAACAAAAGAATAACAGCCAGGGCATCAGGTCAGGTGGAATCAGCCATGGTAGTCACGAGGTCTGGCTCTGGGTGGTTCTCTGCCTCCTCCTTCACTCCGAGAGACTCCCTATGAGCCTCTGCAGCCTTTCCAGGGTAATGTGTGCTGTTTCTATCACTGAGTTATGTGTGCGTTTCTGAGCTGAGACTAGACTGTCAGAGTGGAGGGGAAACAAGAGAAGGGTTTCAGGCAGAGGACCGTCCAGTGGGGAAGGCCAGAGGAGGGAAGTCCTGGACATGTTCCCAGGGGTGTAATAGACAGCCAGCCATGCCCTTACTAGCCCCAACATGTCATAGTGACTTTGCCTGCCCAGGAGCTTTCTCCGTAGCTCTAATAAGTTAACACAAGGGCAAAAGCAATCTGTGGCTAAGAATAGCCAGCTGCCAGGTGGGGGAAGGAGAGCCAGAAAGATAGGAAGGATCCTGGTGTGACCAGTCAGTCTCTGGGCCCAATCCCACCAAGACACACCCCCAAACTCCCAGGGTGCAGACAGAATGACTCCTGAGCCAAAAACAGAATGCAAATACCTGTCTCTGAGAAGGCAGTCTTGTGTCCCCGGGAGCCCCTGGCACCAACACTTGTTTTCCAGTGACCGGTTAGCCTGGTTTCCTCAGAGACAGGGAAAACAAAACTTCTTCCCATTGGGGAAATTATTAAGGGCGTTCTCTCTAAGCTGAGTCTCCATTGGCCCAATCAGCTGTGTCTGCCTCTGCCCGGGAGAGAGGAGCTCGCAAGCTCTGTGGACCCACATCTCTGCCCAGCCTGCAAGAGAAGGTTCATTCGCCGTGGCCCGTCTTTGTCCGGCTTCCAAACACTTCAACTCGCCACTAGCCTGGAGTTTCTCCAGCTGATCTGTCTGTGTGGTAAATAACGTTGGCCCAGCTGGCTTCCAAAAAGTTCCAGCTAGAACCAAACACCTGTTTCCTCGTTGTGCTGTCCAGAGTTATCTGCCATCTCCCATTAGGCACCTGGCTGTGGTGGGCATCCGCAGAGGGTGGGATGAGCAGAATGCGAGGCAGTGAAATGCTGTTGATAGCTTCAATGACTGATAGACAGCCCTGATGACGGCGGGAAAATATTCAGAAAATAAGTAAGGGGGAAGTAGAAATTTATAGCAGGGAAGCTGAGTGTCAACTGTGTGCAAAGCACTGATCATTTCAGAGTTGTTTGTTTCCAGAGAAGCGATCTGATGTGTCACGGTAATTATAATGATACAAATTAAAGATTTATTTTATATTTAAATTGCTGTGGTCTGTGGGGGATAGGTGTAAGATGAGTGCAGTGCCCACTGAGGCCAGAAGAGAGCATCAGATCCCCTGGAGCTGGAGTCATGGGAGGTTGTGCAGCCACCTGATCCACATAGGTGCTGCCAATCAAACTCTGGCCCACTGGCAGAGCAACAAGTAAGTGTTCTTAACTGCTGAGCCACTTCTCCAGCCCAAATAATATTCAATATAATAATACTAACTATACTGATATATTAACAGATTTAGCTTTACCCCTGCATGTGACACCATGTAAAACTGCTATCCTGAGATGAGCGAGGCGCTATTGTACTCTCCTCACTCTGTAGATGAATAAACGGAAGCTCCGAGATAGTGAGGATAGGACCACGGTCCCTTGTGTGATAGAGGCCAGTCCGAGGAGCAGACTCTGGGCTCGCCCTCTCAACCAGATGAGGCGTTCTCCCTGTCTTATCTTGAGCCAGTCAGCTGACTTCTAAGTCTGTTTCCCTGCCTGAAAATGGTGAGAAAGAAGACTCCCTTTGTAAGCTGCCTAGGCCTGTGATGAGCTCAGCTAAGTAAGATGCTATGGCAGGCAGTCCAGAGAGGGGTAGATGGTGCGTTCCCTTTCAGTGCCCATAGTTCCAGTGAAGCACTTCTGCTTTTTTCTACACACACACACACACACCCAGCAACCAATTCAGCAGAATCTCCAGCAGACCTCTCATCCAGTTCAATTCAGTCTGGCACCTTCTACCTGGAGATGGCACCAGAGGCCACAGGTTGAGGGCCCGGTCCCTGAGACTTGCTTGCCCCTTGCCACATCTCAGATGCCAATCTCAAACCTCAGATTGTGCTCTGTGCTTCAGACCTATCAGTAGCACCACAAATCTGGGGTCCTGCAGTGCCCACATCAGGGTCACTGCACGCCTCACAGAATGCAGGGGCTCAATCTGGTATAAAGGCTGTAGAGGGAGAGCCGGAGGAAGCTGCTGACCCCGTCTCCTCAGATTCTTGTGTAGATGTGATTGGCTACAGCTTTGGTCGTTGGGGTTCGGTTCTCCCTTTCCTGGAGACCAAGGGAGGATGCTGAGAGTCTACCTTCTAATCATGCCTTGGTCTTTCCCATGCCCAGGCTCTTTCATGAAGGAGGACCTCATAAGTCAGTGCAGCCCTACACAAGAGATACTCCTCTCACTCCAGATTCTAAGGGGTTTTAGGAACTATTGGAACTGAGAATAAAAGCCAAGTGTAGCCTGCATGGTACCCTATTTTAGATACCCATATTTTATCTTTCCTCATGGTACCCTAGAGATACCCATATTTTATCAAGCATGGCTATAGAATCAGGAAATGCTTACAATTCAGTCCCTCTGTTAAGGGATACTGCAAAGGCTTTAAGAGACTTAAGGAATTCTGAGATGCTTTTTGTCTCCCACTAATATCAGGTAGGGTATGACAGGTCTCTAATAAACAAATGTGTGTGCTGTGCAAGCTCAGGGGTGGAGAAGGAATGTAGGAAGACCTCAAGGACCACCCAGACCAGATGAACAAAGGAAAGGAAGGGATATCAAGTGGGGGATGGTGTGACTGTGGGCAGAGGCCAGAAACTGCACAGTGAACCACAAAGAGTATTGCCCAACCAAAGAGAGGGAGCTACTGAGGACAGAGTGAGTGTCCTCTGAGGACAGAGGGGGAACTACACAGGAGGTGTGTACAGGAGCAGCCTGTGGAAGTGTTGGGATTCCAAACCAACTGAGGCTATGGAAGGAAGGTAAGTAGTGGGCTCCTTCCCCTACCCTGGCCGGGACTCTACTTTCCTTTAAAAATCAAGAAAAAAAAGCACTCACAA